GTAAAGACTGACAAAGTGATTTCCTAAGGATTGCAGGGCAATGATGAACTGCCAGCCAGACCTGTTCTCCTTCAGGCAAAATTTCTTTGAAGGGACTTCAGAATTCCCATCATGGAAATGAAGAGATGTTGACGCAGATCAGGCTGTGAATGGATTTGGAAGGGGATAGGAATCTCAGCTTGTAAAATGGGACACAAGAACCTTTCTTGCCACCAGAATTTTGGCATCACGTTAGCAATGTTCCACACTGGCCAGGTATTCCTATGAGAAGAGCTTCATCACCCCCTCATTTGCACACTTGTCCTGTTACTGGCATGCAGCCTGCTGTGCCCATCTGGGAGAGGAACTCACTGCCAGGCACACTGGGGAGAGGGGACTTCTCCTCCTCACTTGTCTGTATGCCAACACTCCGTAGTGGGGTCCCAGGCTCTGAGGATGCTCCTTCTGGATGGACAAAGCTCAGGATGGCCCTTGTGGCACTGGGACCAAGCAGGGGTACCTGGGGGCTGCTACCAGAGACCAGTGCTGGCTCCCAGCACTCTCCCAGCCCTTCGAGAGGCCACTCTGCCAGCCTTTATTCAAGAAAAAGGAGATAGGAAGATATTTTAGACAAGTTTGTCAGGTTTGTTATACCTTAGTCATTACAGCATTATCAAAACTGGAGGATAAGTCAAGACATAGTTAAAAAATACACAAGAATATGTACTATAAGTATTTCCATCCAAAATACAATGCTTCTTGCAGCAAGGAAATGTACTAGACTTAGGCTGCAGTTCAGCTGTTGCTTCCAGCCAATTTGAATGGAAGTTGCTGCCAAGAGAGCAATTTGACACTCTCATGGCCCTTCATTCCTGGCTGACTGTGACACCTCTTCTTTCTTCTAATGCTCATGCTCAGCAAAGCTGTGGCCTGAGTACTGCTCAAGCTGAAGAAAACATTTTTGGTCAGATTCAGGTTTCATGTGGATTCTGCCCCTGCTCCAGCTCACTACAGGGCTGAACAAGTCCTGCAGAACAGCAGAGCAACCGAAGCAAGCCACCACCCTTCAGTGAAAGCCCAAGTGTTTATGTCGCCTTAGAGAAACTGTTGACCTGCAGCCCAAGGGCAGGTCTGCATCCCATTACAGACAGAGGCCCTAAAACTCCTGTTATTAGAATCACTCTCTCAGCAATTCAATGACTAATTCTATATATAAAGAGGAGGAGCTCGAGGCACCAGAGACAGGGACTCATCATCTCAGCCATGAGTCAGTTGATACGTGAGAGACCCAGTCTTTAGCCGTGACTTCAAACCTGGTTGAACAAGAATTAAACTCTAGGGAGCCCCAAATATAACAGTGGCCCACTGCAGACTTGCACACCTCCTTTCTTATCCATTCTGAAAAAAAAGAGTTGGAAAAAAAAAAGGCAAAATTGCAACCCTTTCCTTGCCAGCAAGCACATGCATGTAAGTTAGCACAGCTAATCCCAAAGGGCAGCAGAATAGACCCTGAAAGTCTTGCCTATACCAGCTGAACCACCCAAAGTTCAAGCACTTCAAGTTTTCACTTGAACTCTGATTTCTTTCATTCTTATCTGAGAGGCTTTATGCTCCAGTTCTTATGAAAAGAAATAAAAAATTGATGCTACAGCAATCCAACTCCTCTAGAGCTTTTCTGCTTCTCTGAATTTTAATAGAATAATTTCCAGTTATTTTCTTCAGCAAGACATAAAAAATACAAATCACGCATCTTCCTAAAGCAGTGAAGTTCATGAAAATATTGAAGTTTAACAGGACTCAGTTTAACACTTACACATAACAAGAGGACCTGAGGACAAAATTGCAACTGGCTTTGCAGGAAGTCCTGGCCACAGGCTTAGGCTTTATACTCATGTATCTGGTGTCACTCCATTCCACATCCCACAAAAACACAGGTTTTTCCCAAAAATTTTGTTTTCAAGCCCCAATCCTACCACAAATAAAGATGAGCTTCTGGGCAATCATATAACTCTGTCTCCAAAGCTGTATTTTTTTGCTCTATCACCCTTACAATCAGTGCCTGTGTTGGCTGTAAAAATCAGATTTGTTACTTGGTGTGCAACAGGCCAATAATTACACACTTGAGAGAGAAACATTGATTTTTTTATTCATTCCAGAGTTGCGCAAGCCTGGGTGTTCCATAAGTCAAGCACACCGCTTCAGACTTTCCATGGCACTGTTTATACACAGAATTATAGTGCTTGTAACTTCCCAAGTATAGTCCCTCTATTATGACTGGTTAATAATTTCCATACAAATTACATGATCCCACCTAATTTCTATGCATGCTCAGGGGAAGGGTCTTCACCCAGGCAGGGGCCTTTTCGACTTGTAGGCATGATTTTTAGTATTGTAATGAAGATAGTTCAGCTTTAGGATACACGGACCTTGAGTCTTTTGCCAAGTTGGCAATATATCTTGGTTTACTGTTAGCTCCAGGATGTCCCTGACCAAGGAATGTTAGCTGCTATCTGTTCCACCAATTAAGTCTCCTTTGTTGCTGACTAGGTTTGAAAGTATACAAAGATCAAATATCGAAGAACTTCTTGACTTAAGAGAATTTTGATATATTCCACATTTTGCGGCACGTAGAGTCAAAATTTCCTGATTCTCAACATCAAAATAAATTATAACCACAGTGGCAATGTTATCTATTATCAGCTCTCTTACCTTACCCAGATTTCTTCCCAAGAAGATAAACCAGAAAAACAAACTCCAAAGCCTTTCCAAGACACAAATACCAAGGCAGCATCATAATTCTGCCATCCTGATTTCATCAGGAATCACATGTCCATAAGGACTGGAAAACAGCTTTGTACAGACACAGCCTAAACACATCAGAGTCTAAAATTAAGCTGCAAATGTAGCATGTGGTGTGGGAGACTGATTAAGAACCACTAGTCCTATATCAATACCCATCTGCATGATAAATGCTTTCCCTGCTCTTCCAGTGCAAGGGGAGTATGATTTTACATTGGCATTTACAACATGTATTCAAATAGTCTCTAAAATCACCTTTCTATTGTGAAGTAAAGATTTCCATCTCTAAGATTTCTACTTAGTACCAACTATTCAGTATTTACTTTTGTCCACCTGTTTACAAGCACTGTAGTTTCCCAAACCCATTTTTTAAATGGCCACCTTTCCCCAGACCATACAGAGAACCAAAAAATTAATTGTTGTTTCCTCTGTTTTTTTTCCTGTTATTAGTACATAACCTCTTTCGGTGACCCTTTTAAAATATTTTTCTTGCTTAATGAGAGAATGCCACAAGGGCAAGCACGTATTAATATTAAAGAACCAATTAAAAAAATCAAAGTCATATTCATCATATTATCTATCATCTTTTTCCCTTTCTGGCAGTTGCACCAGGAGTGATGTCAGCAGGACTGAGCAGTAACTGCGGCAGTGGGAGATCACAACCACCGACTCAGCTGAAAATCTTTCCAACTCTCTTGTGCAGAAATTTTCTCTAGGCTTCCGCCCAAGTTTTCTGAATTCTTCAAAATTCACTAAATTGTGTGCTTTGGGCAATTTAGTTTGTATTTTTCTCTATCCAAATTCTGGCAATTAACACATTATGGTGCTTCTGGCCCCTCTGCAATCCCCAGGAGAGGCTAAGACAACAGCAGGAGCAGCCACAGTGGGTGGTGAGGGCACCATATGCCCAGGGAAGTGAACAACTGGGGCACTTTGATGGACTAAGGCAAGTAAAGCAGCATCAGGAATTCCAAGAGTTGGAAACTCACTGGCTGTTTTTCTTATATTAATTGTCCTATTATAGTTCGTCTTTCAGGGTGAATCTCTGGCTATTGTTGAGGTTTCACTGCTTAGAAAAATACTCTGTTTGTGACAGTTACAGGTTTTTTAGATTATTTTAAAAGTAACTTGCTGTGTGTTTGTTCGTATTTTGTTTTGTGCATGTTTGGAATACAGGTCTTCTGGTTATATGTGTATTATAGCTCAAAAGACACTTTAGGACAGCAAGAGAAGTTGAAGGAAGAACACTTACACAGAGCAAAGGTCTGAGACTTTAAAGACTTGCTTTTCATAAAAGACAGTGACTACTGGGTTGGAACGGGAAGGACTGATTGATTTATTTGCATTTACATGGCACCCCTGGAGTGAGGCTGTATTTTCTGATGCTGTCCTGAGCACCTGCTGCGTTGTTGTGGAAAGGCACTATGTTATTTAAGCGTTTTGTTTCTCTCGCGTCTTTTTCTCCCCAGGTATTGAGCCTAAAACTGAGTGAGGCAGAGCAGCAGAGGCAACGCCAGGAGGAGCTGGAGCATTTGCATAAGGAAGAGGGCCAGGAAAGATTGTGTTGCCTTTTTCCAATCCAGGAAGAACTGCTGCAGTTTAAGAAGCAGATTGATCTCAACTATAGACACAAAGACTTGCTGAGAATAGATCTTTCTGCATGTGGTAATCGAGGCAACCAAACCTATGGACTGGCGTCAGGACTCATTCCCACCATGAATGAGTTGGAGGCTCTAGAGTTGTTCTTAACTTTGGTTGTCATTCCTTCATAAAGCTTCCAGTAGTTTTTTTCAAAGGCAGCTTGTTATGAGGCTGTTAAATAAGATGTCACAGAAACATTTTTAGATATTCATCCTATAAAGCAGCTAATTTAAAAGAAGAACTTTTTTTCTATGGCACTTCAGCTGTTCTCTTGAAAATGGTTTATAAAAATGTATGAGGATTTCTACAGGAGAAAGATTCAAATTAAAATACTGTAAACTCTTGATGCTGTAAAGCTCCTTTTTGAGACAGCCATGGAAACAGGGTGGTTCATAAATTGTTAAATACTGAACATCTTATGATTCTCCCATACCCATAAGCTTTTTTACAGTAACTAGGTTTCCTTGAAATTTTTTTCCCCTATGTAAAGTAGGGGAGACAAGTCTTTAAAAATAAAACACTATGATAAAGATAATTCTCTGTTCCAGCTCATCACAGCTGTCTTTCTGCAGAGGATGCAGTCTAGGTGTGTTATTAAATTCTGGTTTTTAAGATCTTATAAGATTTAGTAACAGACTAACATTATTTACAAATAAGACCAATGTTTTGTACAAATAAAGGAGATGGAGATATTTTCACCAAAGAGGACAAAATGTGCAGTTGGCTCCCAGATTTTCTGAAGATTAATGCTTCAAAGACTCCTTGCTCTTGCTCTTGGGCCACAAACAGTGGAATAAAAGATTAATGGTATGTTACACCCCATGTTTCTTCATAGAGAGGTTTCCCTACTCAAGTAGATGTGCCAATACTGTACGAGCACTGTAGAGAATGTGAAGGCTGGTGTCCTCAATGCAGCAAGAAATGATATGGATCTTTTTTTCCTTCAGCATTGCTGAAGAGTATTCTAAAACTGAAAATGTACAAAATATACCAGTAGACAATAAGAAAGGGTATATAGAATTGTTACAGTGACAATTATTCTTTCATGAATAATGAATCAAAGAGAAACAGAACGCCATTTTAAGTCAGGGAAAATATTAAGTTGACCCAAAGCAGTTTATTTACATTTGGCTTTTTTATCTGAATACTCACCAAGGAGTCAGTTACTTCTTTTGTACCAAGTTTCTCATGCTTTATTTTTTTTTTTTACTTCTCCTACTTTTAATCACTGAGCTTGCAAACCTATTATGTTCAGGAAAAAAACTCCCATCAAATTAAAGGCATATTTGCTCTCTCATTTTTCCAGGGGAAGCCAGTTGCTCACACCTACTGTTTGAGCATGTTTCCTAGTCAGCCAGACCCACTTTGAGGGCAGTGATGGTTAAAAAAAACAATTATAATTAAAAATACCTTCTGGTTACAGCCTCTACCTTTAGTTTTCCTGAGTATTGTATAGTTATATAGTTATATTTGGATAGTTCCCAAATATTTTTGGGAAGACCCTGGAGTTGGTGGCTGCAGTAAGTAGCTTTTATTTAGATGGGGATTTCAGCAACCTGGTCTAGTGAAAGGTGTCTCTGCCCCGGCAGGGGTATTGGAGCTAGATGAGCTAATTTAAGGTCCCTTCCAGCCCAAACCATTCCATAATTCTGGAGTCTCAGTGGCTGTGACAAAACGTGGTAATTCAAGTAGAACTTCAGAGCTTGGACTTTGTGCTGAATAGGGACCACATGCAGAGAGTAAGACTGGCTGCCTGCAGTAATTAGGCACAATTAATAGAGTTTGCTCAGAAGGCATTTTGCACATACAGAATGGTTAGCAGCAATGAATAATTTTGGATATAAGCCTAGAATTAAAAAAAAAACCCAAACAAAAAAAACCCGCAGTGCACTTAAACCAACACCTTAGAAGACTTTGTAAGATGTGAAAAACCTGATTTTCTTGTTTTGTTGAAAAAATAGAGTGTAATTGTTAAAGAGCAGAAAGCCAGCTTTGATTCGATAGTGGAAATATCACAGGACTCAAGCAAACTGCTGTGTAAAGTCAGAGCTTTTTTTAAAAAAAAGTGTTAATTGTATGAATTAATCATGGTTTACAGACAGAAAACTGTGAAAGCTTTGCTTAAATGAGGTCTTATCAGTGGTATGTTTTTGCAGCAGCCTGCTTTTCTTTTGAAGTAAACTACTATCTGGGCATATTAAGTGATACGTTTAAAAAAATAATTTAGTTGCATTTAATTAGCTAACAATGGTCACATGATGAGTAACTGCATTTTCTCTAGTGAATTCATAAAGTCAGTAAATGTTAATTTGTTACTTGTCACCACACAATTCCCTTTTCATATAGAGATTTTTGACCTTGGAGTTTCAGGGGCACCAATGGAATTGCTTTTGGTCCCTCTGGGTGTCTCTGTGTTCAGCAATGGTGCTCAGTCCACCTGTAGCACAGCAGCAGGGGCAAAAGCCTCTCAGCTCTTCACGTGAGACAAGCTGCCATCAATCCTCAGCCCTCTCTTTTTATGTGGGAGAAAAAAACTGCTTTCAGAGTGAGAGCTGAGGGAAGGATGCTTCCAAACTTTGGAATGGTTGGGATTTTGCTGGTTTCCCAAGCCTGCCTTCCTGGAGCCTGCCCACCACCTGAGCTATTTGGTCTTTGCCTCACAGCTCCCAGTTCTGAAGGGACTCTCCCATTTTGGCCCACTGATTTCCTCCTAGCACCACCTTCCAAGTTGTCCCACAAGCCCTTGGAAGGTCCTTTTCATTCTTTCTCTACATCAATATTAGGCAGTTCTCTGTGGCTTGCAGATATGCCCAGGGAAGCTGCCAGAGATGTGTCACAGGCCTGAGAGGCTTCTTGGACATGCGAGAGCATTGCAGCAGCAGGCTGATGTGTGTGCAGCTGGTTTGTTGCTTGGCCTTGCTCACTTTTTTTTTTAACAATCCTAAACTTTGGAGGCCCACATCCCACCTTGTTTTGTGGTGAACTTGTGAGGAAGAAGCTATATGAATTTATTTCCTGAGACTCGGTTTGCAGCAAGGCTGAGGTGTGGTTTTTTATTCTGTAAGCCCTACAACCTGCTGGTTGTTAGCCATGCAGTAAATAGGGAAAATGACAGGCTTTCAAACATAGGCAACTACACTGCATATTGAACGCAATTATTCATCAATATAATCTAAATATATTGATATATAATTTCACACCTGTGCTGTTTTCCAAGTCCCCGGTGTCACAACAACTCAAAAGGGGGCATGATGTTCATTATAAATTCTTGTCAGGCTGAATAAAGCACCAGACCACGTGTCTGTGAACTCCTATGCTCATCTGAGTTTGACAGCGTGAGAAAAAGAGCCAGGGAGATTTATCCACTTCCTTTCATAGTTTACCCGGTGCACATCTTATACAAAAGAGATTTTTCAAGCTGTTCATGCCATACTGTTTGGACTTTTGCAGTCAGCCCTTTTGAGCCCTCCAAGAAGTGAGTAGGGGATGCAAGTTGATGCAGGCACACTGAGTACAATTCTCAAGGCAGAAAAGGAAGTTGGCTCAGCACAGCACTGCCCACCTCCTCAGAACCCTCTCTTCCAATCACAATTTTCCTGTGTCAACAGTCAGAACGTTTGAGACAAAATGTGCTTGTACCTGGTCTTCCACAATAGATGATCCTGATAAGGTATTATGTTGTCATGCACAACACTAGTGTTTTACACTATAAATAAATTTATTCTAGTAAAACAAATTGTTAAAAACATGGAGCTCTATAATATCTTGTGAGATTTTTAAAGGAGAACTTCATTCTTATGTCTCTTGAAGAACTGCTGGCCTGAAGGGTGAAACATGCAATGAACACCACAGGTCACCAATATAAGGAAAGCTACTTGGTTTACCTGAAGTCATAGAGTCATAGAATGCTTTGAATAATAGAATGGTTTGTGATTGAAGGGATGTTAAAGACCTTTTTGTTCCAACCCTTCTGCCATGGAAAGGGACATCTTCCACTAGCCTAGGTTGCTCCAAGCCCTGTCCAACCTGGCCTTGAACAATCCCAGCAAAGGGACAGCCAGAGCTTCTTTGGGCAACCTGTGCCAGTGTCTCACCACCCTTACAGTAAAGACTTTCTTCCTAATATCTAATCTAAACCTACCCTCTCTCAGTTCCCTTTATTCTATCACTACATGCACTTGTTAAAAGTCCCTCTCCAGCTCTCTTGTAGCCCCTTTAGGAACTAGAAGGAACTCTAAGGTCTGCCAGAGGCTTCTCTTCTTCAGACTGAACAAGAGCAATTGTCTCAGCTGTTCCTCACAGCGGAGGTGCTTTAGCCTTCTGATCATATTAGTGGCCTCCTCTGGACTTGCTCCAACAGGTCAATGTCCTTCCTGTGCTTGGGGCCCCAGAGATGGGTGCAGTGTCCCAAATGGGGTCTCACCAGAGAGGAGCAGAGGGGCAGAATCACTCCCTGCAGAATCATCATCCTGCCGCCCACACCGCTGGGGATGCAGCCCAGGACATAGTTGGCTTTCTGGACTGCAATCACAGCTTTGTTGACCCTGATGAGGTTCCCATGGGCCCCTTCTTGAGCTTGTCCAGGTCCCTCTGAATAGCATCCCATTCCTCAGACGGATCAACTGCTCAGCTTGTCACCTGCAAACTTGCTGAGGGTGTGCTCAATCCCACTAAGTCCTTGATGAAAGTATTAAATAGCACTGGTCCCAGTAGGGACCCCTGAGGGATGTCACTTGTCACTGATGTCCGTTGTGAAACTGAGACATTGACCACTACCCCCTGGATGTGCCTGACCAACCAATTCCTCATCCACTGAAAAGTCCACCCATCAAATCTGTCTTTCTCCCATTTAGAGCAAAGGAAGTTGTGGGTGACAGTGTCAAAGGCCTTTGATAGAGCTCCAGAGAGATGACATTTGTAGCCTTTCCCTTATCCACTGGTGTAGTCATTCCACTGTTAGGCACGATTGGATTTTTTTCCTTTTCTCGTGACGAATGCCTGATCAGTCTTTCACTCACAATGCCTCAGAAAACATCACCTTGATGCTTGTTCAGAAGCTCTTCCATCACCACAGCTGCAGTAGGATTTCCTGTGTGAGAAGGCACTGCTGGAATGGCCCTGGGGGCCCTTGGCTGATGGTGGGGCATGAAGGTCAGGGAAAGGCACCAGAAGGGGGAGAAAGCAACACTCAGAGTCTTTGCCAGGGAAATAGCAATTTATTTCTTCTTTCTTGGCTAAGGAGTTCCTGAAGCCCCGTTAGTGCTGCTGCTGGGGTGGCCTCTTGATGGGCTGGGAAGAATTCCGGAGGCTGGAGGCTCTCCTCTTTCGGCCACGCCGGGGTTTTCTAGGTGAATGTTTCCTGCCCTGGCCAGGAGCAGAGGGGCTGAAGCCCTGACTAGATGGACCTGGCACCACCACCACCTGCCCTGGCTCCTCCTGGGGCTGGTCCTGCTCTGAGAACATGGACATAGAAGGGGGGCAGCTGGGACTCCCTTGAAGGCTGGTCTCTGATGTAACAGCTTCCTCCTCCACGTCAGAGCCTGTGGGGCCACTGGCCAGAATCACCTCCCGGGAGCTAGTGCAGCT